AGACTCTGCTAGGAAACCTTGGAAACCATCTAGACCAGAGGTTTTCAAGTTGTGATGAGGGCACCCTAACAGTTCTGCAGAGGCCCGCAGGGGTGGGGGGCAGAGGAGTGTGGGGCGTGGTACAGGGCGCCCTGGGCCTCCTAGCCCTGCTTCAGGCAGCCCCCTCCCCTTTCCCCTGCTGGACATACCGGGCTTCCACATGGGGGTGAAGGGCATGGTTTTGAAGCACAGACCCCGGTTTTATCCTGGTTCCATCCCTGAGTAACTGTGAACTCCTCAAATTCCTCACTCATTGAGTGCGGATGAGAATACCTTTCCTGGGACAAGTAACGGGGTAACATATACAAAGTCAGAAGCATTGCGCCTGACACACAGCCAGCTCTCCATAAATGACACCTACTATTATTGGCCACATTCCTAAGCCCAAGAGCCACTCGTAGTGTTCTGCCCCCTTCACTCCATCACCAAAAAAGGGGAGAACTGGCGTGAAAAAGGTCAGGGACCCGAGCACGTGGTGGGGCCACGGTGCCGAGGGCGGAGCGGCAGAGCGGGTGTGCTGGGCGGCTGGGTCTCTCTTTTGCGCTCTCAGCCTGTCACTGTATGGGAGGTCGCTTCTCGCTCTCGGAACTCCGGCCACAGACGCAGTGAAACACCGCAGCCTCCCTCCTCCTGGAAGGAGGCCCGGCTTCTGAGCCCTTGGGGGTGGGGGGAGGGCAGGCCACTGGACACCAGGGCAAGAGCCCGCCCCTTTCACACGTGGACCCACCCACTTCTCGGGGAGGAAAATTACACTCCCGTTAGGGCCTAACGCCCGAGACCACTTGGAAAAGTGGGAAGGAAGTTATCGAGTGGGTCATTTTTGAGGAGTCTCTGGGGACCCCGGCGGGGGCAGCCATCATCAGGAAGGCCGCTGAAAAGAGAATCAGAAATTCGGAGATCTTGACCCTGCTCACTTGGCATGGCTACTACACCCTGTGCTTCATCTTCTCAAACTTTCATAACTGAACTGGATATTAAAAAGAACAGGGCTTGGCACATAGTTGGAGCTCAATAAATATTTGTTGAATGAATAAATGAACACTTAAAAAATAGACATGTTTCAAATTCATATACTATAATCATAAATCTAAACCAGCATTCAATGTATAAGAGATTTTTATTGAGTGTTAGTGTTATTATTCTGAATAATAAATTGCCTCATTAAAATACTTTCTCAAAGTGCCTTGCCGCCAGCTGAGGTCCCTCCGGTGATCCTTGAACTTGCCTGTCTCAACCCGGTAGAGGGAAAAGATCTTTGGACAGGACTTGGGTTTGCTCCAGCTTCTGCTATTTATGAGCAAGCCACTTAACTCGGAGCCTGTTTCCTCCTCGGGGTAGCGGGATCCATAACACCCCCTGACTACCTCACGGGAACACTGCAAAAGTCACAAGACGACAGATATGAAAGCGCTTTCTGAACCACCAAGTGCGACCCGCACTTCACGTCCCGCTGCAACGACCCCGATCCTGCCCCGGGGCTCCCATCGCGCTCCCGCCCGCGTCTCCCCCGGCTCCCTCTGTGCATCCCAGTCCTTCCCGAATCCCAGGCCTTGCCTTTCGGCAGCTCTCCACCAGACCCTGAACTGGATCCTTCCCTGCCAACTCTGCTTTCGCTCATTGCCCTACAGGTGCACATTTGCCATTTGGTCATCGGTCACACAGAGAGGCGGTACGGTGGGGTGTTCACGGCTTGGGCACATCTGCGCGGGGTCCCAGCTGTGGCGCTTGCTATTTGAGAGACCACTGGCGGGCCACCTAGCACCTCTAAGTCTCCTCTACAAAACAGGGATGATAAGGGCTCTTAGATTTGCTCTGAGAGGTGAATGAGATCATTCACATGAAGTATTCCTCGCAGTGCTGTGCACACCGTAAGCGCTCAGCAGCTGTGGCTGTCATGACGACTGGAGCTTGCTCCTTCACCGTGTCCCGATTTTGTCCTATCTCCCCAGCTGGATTTTCACCCTGGAGAGCAGGGTCCCCTGTCCTATCCATTTCTTTGGTTACCCCCAACCCCACTCCCATTCCCGAAAGGAGCTGAGCTCATAGTATTTTTCCCAAAAACACCTGCTGAATTGATTAAAAGGACTTAAATTCTTCCTTAAAACCATGCTCAAATCTTTCCCACAGCCCATCACAGCCAGCTTGACAAAGTCAATGCCCACTGGGACGAGTAACCTCTGCCGACCCTGCTACCACCCTGAAAATGTGCGAGTGGCCGCAAAGCACACAGCCAGGCCATTCCCACTGCAGAGCCGTCCTGCTGTGCGGGGTGCCCTGCGTAGCCGACAGCCTACGAATATTCCAGAGAAACACTGTTCATGTGGGAACCTCTGCCAAATTCTGGAGCGCCCTCTCTCCCCGGGACAGGCACTTCACTCTCACAGGTGCAGACAGCGTCAGGGGTAACACATGTGTCTGACCACGGAAAAGCCCGTGCAACCTCTGAAGGGCTGTGTTTTAGGACCGCATTATACGTGAAACAGTTCTTCTGGAGTTTTGCTAACAAACTCCCTGAAGTTATATAATGGATAGATGCTGGCAACTTACGAAACAAACGTGATTTAAATCTGTGTTTTGAGAAGAGTAACTATAAGGTAAAAAAGAAAAAAAGGTCCATTTCATAACATGGTCAAAAACAAAATTCTTAATTTCACACACTATCCATAACTCTTCCCAATTGCTCCAGAAATTACGTTTGCGTAATCATTTGCTCTTCCGCTTTTTTTCCTAAACATTCTTTGGAAAGCATATCACACCTTCCCCAGAATGAGCAGAAGACTCAGAAGTAAGCCAGGCACACTTTCACGCTCACGTTCGGTCTTTCGTCTCTTGATGTCTAAGGTTCTCCTGCCAGATAACTTGGAAAGCTTATCCCAACCCTGGGCTTTCATCGAGGTTCTCTTATCTTCCTGAACCTGAGCTGGGAAAAATGAAAGCAGCGATGTCTGCCCCTTCAAGAGTGTGCATGTGACCGAATTCTGAGCACTACTATCTCCCTGTTTTTCATCCTCCACTCTCTCATATCCAGAATTAACCTGCTGTAAAGCGTCCTTGCTGTTTTCCAAGTCCATAGCAGGAAGGGGGGGGGGGGAGCCTGCTTCGTTGGAGAATACTCAACCAAGACATGATGTTCCATTTTTATGATAAATGTAAATTTTCTACTACTCGGCAAATTCTCCATTTCAAATGGCTAAGCCTGTTTTTCATCCTCCACTCTCTCATATCTAGAATTAACCTGCTGTAAAGCGTCCTTACTGTTTCCCAAGTCCATAGCAGGAAGGGGGGGGGGGGAGCCTGCTTCGTTGGAGAATACTCAACCAAGACATGATGTTCCATTTTTATGATAAATGTAAATTTTCTACTACTCGGCAAATTCTCCATTTCAAATGGCTAAAAGGAGCGGTACCTAGACACAGAATTCTAAACGGTTAAGTTTAGGGAAATGAAAATACAGAATTTCAACTAAGTTTAAGGAACAACGAGTACAATGCAAGAATATTCTCCTTCTGGTTTACAGCGTTTCATCTGACTATCGACCTTTTGGATTTTAGTTCTCCTACCAGTAAACAGGTGCTGAGAGCAGGCTGGCCTCAGTAATATTCTCTCCCTTGATGGAACAATCCACGTTCTTTCAACGATCGCTTGTGTAGGAAATGCTGACGTTTCCCTCCTATTTTACCTCTATCAAGTGTCTGTCTGACTTTTAAGTCCTTTGCAACTCATCCTTTCTCTTCTTCAAACAACAACAAAAAAAGAGATCCCGGTGACAGAGGACCGCGCTGTCTGGCTTCCACACTGTCTTCATTTGTGGCACTGCTTACCCTGGGTCTGAGCAGCAATCCTGCTTCCTTAAGCCCTGTCGACTCTCCCCAGGGATATGGCAATCCTGGCCCTTGCTCTTAATCACTCTTGCCCAGACTTTCTCCCCTTCTCCGCTTCCTTGTTGTGCAGCATCCAGCCCTTCCCCTACAACCAGTGGTGGAGAGGCGTCCAGCATGGGCAAGGTCAGAGCCAAATGCCACCGTTTACTCTCCCCTCTGATTTATGGGCCCTTCACTCCTAGAGGCGAAATCCTAAGTCGTGTGATTTTTGGCTCGTGGTCTGCAGAGAACGAACTGCATATGCAAGTTCCTTCACGTACGATATTTGTACCCAAAACTACACGTAGAAAGAGTGGCAACATTTCGGGCTACCGATTCATCCATCATGCAGCTACGCTTGTCAGAAGGTCTCAGAGAAGCTGCTTTTGCTCTGTTTGTCCCAGAGCTGAGCTGGGAATGAGGACGGTGAGAGCAAAGCATGGCTAGTCTCTGACCCCAAATGTTGGCATGAAATGAACGCAAAGCCAGGGAAACGAGGAGCTGTGCAATGATAACCAGGACTATCGAGAGGAGGTTACGCAGACGATCGCACTTTTATTTTCCTTATGCTTTCTGACTGTAGATTTAATTTAATTTTGTCATGGCAGGATTAGCAACCAGGCCACAAAGGTGAAGGGACATTATAATAAGACAGCGTATTAATCCTCTATCCCACCCAAGGCAGAAGGGAAACCAAACAAATAGCAGCTTCCTGGAAATTGAATTTCTGTTATCCAGATGTCAAAGATGTAATACCCCAATTACACAAACTATTGCCAGTGAAGCATGCCAGCAAATATGCAATGTAAATGGGGTGAACGCAGAGCGACAAAAATGCACCGTCAGCATCTGGCTCTGGGAGTGAGTGATAATTAGCACTGTGTGTAGACACTAATAAACATTTATGTCTGAAATTACAACTTTTAGCAATGTTAATAAGGGATATATTGGCAATCTGTAAAATAAAAGGTCTTGAAAAGAATGTCATACATTAAGCAATGGCAGACATTTCCCGTTCTGGCACGATCCCCTCTTATTTTTTCCCCTAATTGCAAATGGCCACGTTTTTTTGCTGAGAAATTAATTGACATAGGAACCTACCTAAAAAAATGGGTTGTGTCTCTTTGGCTTCCCCATTAACATCGCTGCTGAATTCCGAGACCTTATATACCTCATGGTGATAATCTGGGATGAGAAAACAATCAAAAATTAGAATCCTAATGGCCTGCAAGATATGAATGAACAATAAAGACTAGAATCTCATTATATATATAGTATGGATAACCTATACTTCCATTTAGAAATATAATTTTCCAGAACTCAGTCAATCACAGCATTTGTAGTCACTAAAAAATTCCCTAAAACTTTGCTTACTCTGAAGTACACAAACTTGAAATATTACTTTGACTTTAGAAAACGGCTTTGCTTGATCACACGGTTTTCACAGTAAATTTGGCCCACAGATGCCAATTACTAGGCTTCTTTTCTTTCAAACGACAAAAACGTTTATAAAGAAAAAGGAAAACCTTGCCCAATCATATGCCAGGGAGGGTTCCGAATTTATTTCCACAACCCATTTTCATGAGCACACGAATAATGGTATATTTTAGAGTTACCTGGCACTCTCAGTTTACCCAGAAAAATCTCTGCCTTTGAGCAGCTTTCAGGCAATCACGCTGGAAAAATACTGATTTGTTATTTCGAATATAGTATAATTTGGATAGGAGAGCAAGATTCTCATCTCTTACACAAGTGAGTCTTCTGCATTCAACTACTGCACTTTAATATGCAATGGTTTATTTTCTAAAAAAGCACCTGCAGAGCAGAGAGAAGAATCAGACCCATAATTTAGGGGAGAAAAGAAAAAAGAAAAAACTTGCTATGTCAGTCAAACTTTAAAACACAATATTCTACAAGCTTCTCTATAGAGGCTACTGTGTTTCGGCAATCTATTTCTAAAAAGAAAATCATCTAGGTAAGAAAATACAGGTTTCTTCTTAACAGCTATTCCCTTATTTTGGCCTTGGACCTCACAGGACAAGGTCTAAAGAAGTACTCTCACTTTTAAGATAAAGTAGTAAGTTTCCTGAGGTCATAAATAAGAAAGAAGCCTGCATTCCTGAATGAATCGGATAGACCAATAGGTCAGTAACACATGGAGAGATTTTAAAAGTCCAAATGACTGAGTAATCGACACTGCTAAGGAACAAAATGTACGTAGAAAAAAGAAAGAGCCAAATATTTTAAATATGTAAAACTATTTCAGGTCTCTTTCATTAAACAGTGTCAAACTAAATCAGGGAAAACATATGAGTAGATCTTCAAAATGTCGATAATAAAACCATTTTCAGACGAACTAAGAGCAGGTTTTATTGAATTCACATCATAGTTAGCTTAGTTTGAAAAGCTCTATTACTTGCAATTGCCCTCTAATTTTCATCAGCTTACATGAGACTTCTCCGGGTTGTTAAAACAATCCCCATGCTCGCTACTCTGCTGCCAAAGCTAGAGAAAAGTGAGGGAGGAAAGTGGACAGGTTCTGTGTTTAGGTTTTGACCTCAAGTCCATTCAAAGAAGCTATTTAAACAGGGTAGTTCTAAACTCAGTATTAGGACTTAAGACATTACCATGAAAAAAAGTCGCCTGCCCCCTGTTTAAAGTGACAAAATGCATTTTGATAGACATATTTTGACATCTGCTCTTAAGTTCTGACCGTTTAAGAGTCAAATCAGTAAACTGAAGACTCTAACAAGTAACTGAACACGGACTGCTCAGCTGATGACACTGTCCAACTTTCCTCTCCCCTGGCGAAATCAACCCAAACCCAGAGAGATTGGTGGTGTACACCTGTTAAATCGTCAGGAACTGGCTGGATTTTTTTTTTTTTTTTTAATGATACTTCTCTGGTAAGCGATCTATTCTAAAACCCCTCTCCGACCCAAATAACATCTCTCGAAAAGATGTTGGACGTCGACAATTCTTACGTGGTCTTGTACGCCTCGTGAGCTCCTTTCCCATTCTCCAAAGAACCACCACCACCTTTTCCCCCTTCTCTTTCGGGGGGGAAAAAAAAAAAAGCCCGAGCCCACAACCATTGGTCGGCATGGGTGTCCGCACGGCCTGATGGAAAGGCGGTTCTCCCCCCAGCCCCCACCCTGGCCGCGGGAGCGGAATACCAAAGAGGGCTCTCTCTGCTCCCCAAGTGTCATTGTTTGCTAATTTCCTCAGTGCCCTCCGACTTGTTTACGCGGAATACCCACCTCCCGCCTCCCCCCGCACAACTTTGCCGGCCGCCCGGCGTGAGCGGCCGCGGCCCGCCTGGGGGAG